GCTATGCTTTCCTATTATTCCCTCTACCAAAAGGGCCATTCTGTTCTAGAAACATTCTCAAGTCATCTTCTATTTGGGGTGCTTTGCTCTTGCTGCTTCTTCTTCTTTTTCTTCTTCTTCTTTTTTTTTTGCTTTATGGGTCACATCCGGCGATTCACAGGGGTTACTCCTGGCCCATTCACTCAGGAATTACTCCTGGTGGTGCTTGAGGGACCATATGATATGCCAGGAATTGAACTCAAGTTGGCCGCATGCAAGGCAAATGCCCTACCTGCTGTGCTATTGCTCCAGCCCCCTTGCTGCTCCTTCTACATAGGATATTCATTCCTAATTTCTGCACCTGACACCATCCTACCATTCATGTCTCCATTTAAGTTATCATACCCTTAAAGAAAACTCCTTATGCCCCTAGTCCTTAGCTCAAAAGATCCTGTTGCTTCTGTGCATGTTCCCTGTCATGTTTCCAGAACCATCTTTATTCCTTTACCTAAAGTATAGAGAAAGTAAGGATTCACTAAATTTAAGTAAAAGAGTAACTTCCAATATCCTTTTACTTTTGTGGAAAGGGGTAGTTAAATCCTTGCAGGCTAACGGAACAATGTTGACAAATAGGTTTTCATCCAGCTGCCTGAGGCAATTATTTCATTCTTTCTTCCCCCTTAACTTAAAGCATTTAGCCAATAATTCACTTCTCTTTAAATTATTTTTTAAAAGGTAAAGGCCCTCCCGTTGTTCATCGATTTGCTCCAGCGGGCCCAGTAACGTCTCCATTGGAGACTTTGTTGTTACTGTGTTTGGCATATCGAATACGACACGGGGAGCTTGCCAGGCCCTGCCGTGCAGGCGAGATACTCTCGGTAGCTTGCCGGGCTCTCCGAGAGGGGCGGAGGAATCGAACTCGGGTCGGCCATGTTGGCCGCTTGTAAGGTGAACGCCCTACCGCTGTGTATGTTTGAGGCCACATCCAGTTTTGCTCAGGGTTCTTCGTTGGCTCTGTGCTCTGGAGTAATTCCTGTTGGTGCTCAGGGGACTGTATGTGGTGCTGGAGATTCAAACCAGGGTGAGAGCCCATGCAGTTGCATGCAAGGAAAGTGCTTTCCTTTCTGTAGTCTCTCCAGTCCCATATTTCCTTACTGCAATCTACATTATAATTTATCTTTATATATGAAATATTTATCCAATTATTTTATATATGCTTGGCAATGTGTTTTATATAAAGAACACAACTCAGGATAAGACAGAGAATAATATGATGAACCCTGCCACGAGTGATCCCTGAACACAAAGATGAACCCCTTAAGCATTGTCAGGTGTGGCCAAAAAAACAAAAACAAAACAAACGAACAAAAAAAACTATAAAGTTCGCTGATTCATTGGAAAACAAAACAAAAAACAAAACAAAACAAAAACCATAAAGTTCGCTGATTCATTGGAAATCCAATAACAGAGAAGAGAAAGGGCTTCTTTTTTCTGTAAAAACTAATATGCTGTTTTTAAAACTTTGAATTGCTATATAGTTTTTCCTAAATTTTATTTATTTACTTTGGTTTGGCAGTAACACCTGGCTATGCTCAGTCCTTAGTTTTTCCTCTGTGCTTAGGGACCTGTACCTTTGTCCAAGGGGACCACATGCAGTGCCGAGGAAGGAACCCATGTCAGCTATGTGCAAGGAAAGCACTTACTCACTGGACAATCTCCTCAGTCTACATTTTGATAGGTGTTCAGAAAAACGCCCCTTTGGGAAAATCAAAATAAAGTCCAAGACTTCAAACATGGATAACTGAAATCTATTTGTATACTGAGAGGTTATCTCAATGAAACGAAGATGAGTTTATTAAGTGTCAGTAAAACTGAAGCAAATGTACACAGAATAACCAAATAAATGACATTATTACATAATCAGAACGTCTACACTGCGTTTTGTAATATTATTATTAGCTTTAACAGAGCCCAACCCAAGCTGTGCTGTGGAGGGTATGATATATTCACTGGGTAGATCCAATGGGACCCACACATTGTGGCCCTATCATACTGCTTTTAATTCACCAATACAGGCAAGTCAGTGGAATCATCTGGTACTTTACAATATGGAAAAGGTTCAGGAAACAACAATCCGGGGACTGAAACATGGAACTTTTCTTAGAAAGGTATTATCTTTTACTTTTTCCTTGTAAGGAAAGATGTTACACATAATTTATTTATTTGTTGAGAACCTATTAAATCCAAAAGATTGTGTCAATGGCTCTATATGCATTACCATCTCACTTAACACCCCCCACCAAGTCTACAGTACTAATCGGGCCCTAACTTCCATGAGGAAATGGAAGCAGGCAGGCAACCTGACCTGTATGCAGTCAGAGAGCAGCAAAAAATAAATTCTCAAGGCATAATAATGCATATTTTATGCTTATTTTATAATGTAATAATTTGGAACTTTATGTCTTCATGGTTATTGCTATGTATATTACAAGGAAGTCGATGGGTATTAGACACATAGAACTCCACTTCTGTCAATCTTATCAACAAACTCAATGGTCACTACTGGCTTTTCTATAGCTGGTGAGCAACATCAATAGAGAATATTTTGTTCTCCTAGAGTTCTGTTATTCCCTTAATTCTGAAAGTAAATGATTCATTAAAAAAATAAATTCCCTTTTTTCAAAGAAAAACTGTAAAAGTTCCACAATGGTATCTCCCTTCCACTAAACTTTAGAAATATTCAAATTAATGAACTTTTTCTTATAGACAGCCAAAGAAGAATGTCTGTATACACTGCGAGACAAAAACAGTACCATGAAGAGGCATATGATTTCAATTAGATATATGAATATGAAATAGGAGAATCAAAAGTTATAGTCCATACTTTCAACAAGTTTTTATCTCGGTGGATGGAAAAATCTATTTTTCATTTTGTTTTTAACTGTGTGATTTATTATAATGTTTGGGTCACCTTTATAATTAATAATGGTTATAATAATTATTCTAAAAATTTACTTATTCATAAATATAATCATTTTCTAAGTCTGAGTAACTTTCTTTGAGGACCTTAATTTTTATTTTAATTTTTCCCAGGTGCAATTAGAGCACCACCTTAAAAAAATTTATCTTACACCTTGAATTTCACTTAAAGTTTCCATCAAAAGTAAGAGCACCACCAAAAATACATCTAGAAGGAACTAGATGGTATCATCTGATTCAATCGATATGGAATCTATTGACACAGACAATTTTTTTTACATGTCTACATGGCAGTGAAGTGCTGTCAAGCCTATTATGTATAATGTTATGTATATTACTAATGTTTAATATAGTAATAAGATATTAAAGATTGTTCTGATATATTAAGGGTCATATATACACATAAAATTAAAAATTAAATATGAACCAAGCTTGATTTATTTAACTTGAATAATCATTCTACTGCTGGCACAGAAAGAGAAAGAATAGTAATCCACAGTTCAGGAGTTTGATAATGAGATCAACAAATTATTTAGAATACATTCATTTGGTGTTCAGATACAGTGAAAGGAAAATTCCAAGCAATAATTTAAAACATGATCCTATAATTTTATAAAAGACTCTATTAAATGGTCAGATCTAGAAAGTATGGCTCAACTAAACCTGAGTGCCCCTTTTAGAAAGTGTCATAACCAGTACATATGTCCGCACCGCCCCTCCCACTATTTCCAAATAACCAGGAAACAGCTTCACTCAAACTTTGGATTTGAGACACGGATCGCACAAAAGTGCAAGAATCATTACTACGTGTACTCCAGCTACAACATGACATTAACCAGATGCATGCATTCCATGACTCCAAATCTGGCCTGAATACATAACAACCTGTGGTTAGCACAATCTGTAGTAAATTTAATTAAATTCAACAAACATTTATGGAGTAATCTAGTTCAATGTACTCGACGGGGTGTGTAATGCCCGTAAAGAGCAGTAGAGCGCAAGTTCTGCTCTCAAGGCACTTAAAATTGGGTGAGGGAAACATGCAAAATTAACGGTGATAACAAGCACAATATGATAAGAAATAAATGCATTTGCAGTGAGAATATAGAGCAGAGAGAATACAGGCAGGGGGTAAGTGAACTCTAATTTGGATAGGGAGAAACTCCGAGTATTAGTAGTGGAAAGAAGTAACATTTTTAGTTAATTAAGATTTGGCTGTATTGTAACAGGAAAGACACAGAAAAGCAAATGTACTGATGACAGAAATAGTGGTATCTGCTTCCATTACAAAAAAATGAAAAGATGAGGAAGAAAAGGGAGGTTGAGGTGAGATCAGCCCTGACCTGTATGAGTAACAAAGAGATAGGAATTGCTTCAGATTGGCACGCTCTCTTTTCAAGATTAAAATAGCATTAATTTTTAAAATTTATGTTAAGACAGGATTTAGGACACATGCAATTTAAAACAGACATTTTATTATATTAAATTATGTGCTCAGTTTTGGGGTAGAAGTCATCAGTGGATTTATTAGTAATATCACAGAAAAATGATGGGTTAAGCTACCTGGTTAAGGAACAGGGAAGTCGGCATAAAGATAATATTGTCCCAGGATAAAGGGAAGATTAGGAAAGAGTCTTCAGAAGGGCATTTATGGAAAAATCTATCAACACTGGCTGAGAAATTCCAGTATCTCCACTTCTCATCCACGTCACAGTTTCAAGAATTTATTGTTCCAAATGCAAAGTTAACACAATAACGAGTCTGTGTCCTTTGAAGAAATCTAAGCATTCCAATATATCTCCTTCTCATCAGTGGGAACATGTTCTTATCCCAGATCATTTGCAGAAGAACAGATACAACACACACTTCAGAATATCCAGCATCTTTGTATTAGCCCATTATTTTGGCCTACCTATGCCTCTCTTTAGAGTTTCCAGAATGATATAGTAAAGGAGTGAAAACTCCAGTTACAAAGATGACTTCTCAGGATTATCATCATCAAATGCCACACTTTGAACCACCAACGTACTTCCACAACTTACCATTCTAACCCCATTTTCAAAGGCCTGGCGGGTGAGTGGAGCTGGTCCGTCCACAGTCTTGCCATCATCATCTGGGCCCCAGCTTGCGCTATAAATGTGCACGTGCTGTGGGTTGAAGCTCACTGATTTCGCTTCAACCATGTCAGTGACATCTCCATCCAACATTCGGACTCCTTCAAGACAGAAAGGGGAAGTGCATGATTACAAAGACCTCACTTTAAAACACCCAAATAGGGGGCTGGAGAGATAGCACAGCAGGTAGGGCGTTTGCCTTGCATGCAGTCAACCCGGGTTTGATTCCTAGCATCCCATATGGTCCCTTGAGCACCGCCAGGAGTAACTCCTGAGGGCAGAGCCAGGAGTAACCCCTGTGCATCGCCAGGTGTGACCCAAAAAGCATAAATAAATAAATAAAATAAAATAAAACACCCAGATAGCCTGTGCCATATGACACTTGGAGCAGTTTGAGGTAAAGAAACTTATTTATCCAGGCAAACATGCTATCCTCCAGAAAAGGATAATGCAGACTTTCCTGAAGCTTCTTTAGGGAAAAAAGGCAGTTATACTGCATGTAACAGAGTATCATGTTTTAAAAATCCTCTCTGTAATCAATTTGCTACCTTTGCAACTTCCCACAAACTCTCCCCTCTCCTTTTTCTATCCTGAGCACATGACAAAGGGAGGCTCAAGCAAATTTCTCTTCACTAGCCAACTTGTGTTCATAATTGGTATCAAACATTCTCACCGCAGCCAGCTTACAAAAGCTGGAGAGGTGCCGAGTTACGTTGGTTTAACTTCATCTCCAAGTATTATTTCCTAAAAGGTAAAAGGTAAAGGCCCTCCCGTTGATCATGGATTTGCTCGAGCGGGCCCAGTAACGTCTCCATTGGAGACTTTGTTGTTACTGTGTTTGGCACATCGGATAAGTCATGGGGAGCTTGCCAGGCGCTGCAGTGCGGGCGAGATACTCTCGGTAGCTTGCTGGGCTCTCCGAGAGGGGCGGAGGAATCGAACTCGGGTCGGCCATGTTGGCTGCGTGCAAGGCAAATGCCCTACCGCTGTGCTATCGCTCCAGCCCTAATTTGCAAAAATGATGTGAACATAAAATCCTAAATTCTTTGTCAAGTTATTTCAGAAATAAAATAACAAGTGAGAATGCATGTTACACACCAAATAATTCTCAAGGGATTTTAACCATATTCAGGCATTAATCTTCACTGTCTATTTCTGCCAGACACTTTAAGAATGTGTTAATAACCTTAATTTGCAAAAAAAAATTAAATTCTAATAAAAAATAAGCTATATGCCAAATGTCAGACTTCCCTTTTGTTTTGGAGATTCACAATCACAGTAAAAATGAACCACCTTGAAAAAGCAAGGGAATCTTTATATTTCTTCAGCTTAAGTTAAGTACCACTTAGACACTGGATAATTTAAAATTGTATCTTTAGCATTCACATTCATTACTTAAGATGATACTTATCTACAAAGATTTAACATTTTTGAAAAATTAAAAATTTTTAAAAAATTTTTTGTTTTTGTTGTAATTAGGCCACATCCGGCTTGCTCAGGTATTATTCCTTGCTCAGCACTCAGGACTTACACCTGGCAGACTCAGGGGAACATGTAGGATGCTGGTTATCAAACCCAGGTCAGCTGCTTGCAAGATAAGCGCTTTCCCTGCTGTACTACTGCGCTGGCCCAGATTTCACATTTCGATTGATTACTTAATAGAATTTTTGACTACCTAACAGAATTAAATAATACCCCAAATTAGTATATGCTATGTTCTTTGGGAAAGAAACTTTCAACAGAAAAAAATGTTTTTTTTGTTCTTAATTGGGGGCCATACCCACTGGTGTTCCAGGGATAGTCCTGGTGATGCTGGGGGGGACTTATGTGATGCTGGAGATCAAACCTGGGATGGTCACATGCAAGGCAAGTGCCTTAACCCCAGTATTATCGCTTCAGCCAGAAAACTTAAAGAAGGGAAAAAAATACTTGCAGGAACTGAATCCTCTTTGTGATTTTAAAAATGTTTAACTCTTTTTAAATTGTAGTTTAGGTAACATGTTTACCATAGTTTTAACATGGATGGTCTTGATAGTTACTGCACCCCAACACCAACTTGGTAACCAATATCCTCCACCACTGTCCTTATAGGGCTGGAGCGATAGCACAGCGGGTAGGGCGTTTGCCTTACCAGCGGCCAACATGGCCGACCCGAGTTCGATTCCTCCGCCCCTCTCGGAGAGCCCGGCAAGCTACCGAGAGTATTCGATATGCCAGACACAGTAACAACAAAGTCTCCAATGGAGACGTTACTGGGCCCGCTCGAGCAAATCGACGATCAACGGGAGGGCCTTTACCTTTACCTTTACCTATATTACACTTGATCTTAGCCAAAAGGCCGAGAAGCGATAGCACAGTGGGTAGGGCGTTTGCCTTGCACGCAGCCAACGTGGCCGACCCTAGTTCGATTCCTCCGCCCCTCTCGGAGAGACCGGCAAGCTACCGAGAGTATCTCGCCCGCACGGCAGAGCCAGGCAAGCTCCCCATGACGTATTCGGTATGCCAAACACAGTAACAACAAAGTCTCCAATGGAGATGTTACTGGGCCCGCTCGAGCAAATCGACGATCAACGGGAGGGCCTTTACCTTTTACCTTTACTGTCTTTATGTTACTTCTAGTCCATCTCTTCATTCTCTCCCTCTCTGCCACAACTTGGTCATCTCAATTGTGTAATCCAAGGCCAAGACTTTACCTTAATTCAATACGATCATACCTAAAAATCTTTTCACTTTTAATTTTGAAACTTGCAAGCATATAAAAATAACATGTAAGGATGATAATGAACACTGCTACAATACTCATACCTGTTAACATTTTGTCACATTATCTTTATATACAATAATGTACATATCAGTAGAGATAGTGCAGGGATTAAGGTGCTTGCCTTGCATGCAGCCAGCCCAGTGAGTTTGAACCCCAGCACCCCATATGGTTCACTGAGCACCACCTGTACTCAACACTCACTCAATAGCAACAGGAGTGGCCCAAGCCACCTCCCTGCCAAACAAAAAATAAATTCCCAAGGAACATTGCATTTGGCCACTAGGATTTATATCAACTCTTCCCAATGTTTTCTTCCATCTGCTTATGGTTGCAGCAATAAGCTACAGAGTAACTGGGAATGTAAGAGCTCACTTCTATCAATGCCCATCCTGCTTTGCTTGAGTCCTTGTATATATTTTTATACAGTTGAATCTGTATGTGTGCATATACATGTATAAATTGCTAATAGCAACAGTATCACTACATGACTGATCTATGAAAGGGAAGTCCAGCCATTTACCACTGACTTGCAATTAAAACAACTTTATGTAAAGCCCAAGGCAAAGAAAAAAATAATCTGCCTTGACAGAATTTCAAGATGCTCATTTCCACAGAGATATTACTGCCTGGTGTTTATACTATTAGCCCTTCCTGAGCGAGGCACCAATTGAAAAGTTCAGTCCAGATGTCAATGAGCCATCCTCATTAGTGGACATGCTTTTCGTGCCTGTTTGAAAGAAATGTCTCTGTTTGTAACACTGAACGATACACATCAGAAGTCTTTAGCTGAATTTAATGACAGATGTTAACATGGTCATTTTGCTGTCAGCCATAGTCGAACACTATTAGGCAAACATATGCCATTATTTAGTTCAAAAAGGGTTCTGGGAACCAGTGAACACAAATCTCTTGGTTCATCCTGACATCTACATAAGTTTGTTTCCCATACCTCCGATCTTGGCATTAAAAGCAATTCCAACTGTGCAGTGTGAGTTGTTTGCTGCGGCGGCCACTTCTCCAGCACAGCGGGTCCCATGCCTGTAGGGAGAACACACACACCTTTCTAAAGCAAGACACTCCATTTCCACAGACTCAACAAGTCATTGCCACCCCCTAGATTTCAAAGTGGAGAAGAATTTATCAAGCTGTGGGTTTTTCTGCAACTCCCTAATCAAGCAGTACTTAGTCTTTCTATCAAAAACTTTTAGTACTTCATCATGTTCTATTTGGGTTTATATTCCTAGCATGTTTTTCCAACTTGAAAATCTTGAGGCTAAAATCCAATGAAGATTTGTTTCTTTGAATTTTCTAAACATCCACAGACCAAGATGGTAATCAAGAGTCAGCCATTATGTGGTGATTGGGAAATGAAATGTGGCTAATATAATCTCATTTTAATCTTTAAATTTCATTTAAAATTTATGATGAAATTTTAGTATTAAAATGAATTAAGAATGCAGATATAAGAATCTACTCTATAAACTACATATTTAGAAACATGTCAAGTACTTCCAATGAAAATTTAACCTCTAAGCTGAAATATGCTACAAACACACAACGGATTGAAAAATTTTATGAAAAAATAAGATCATGAAAGATTATCTTTTTTATACCAACTATACCCAGAAATATTTCATAATATATGGCATCAAAATTCATTGTACCCATTTTTCACCATATTATTTCTTTGTCAAATTTGACTACTAGAAAACATTTTTCTGAATGATATTCCATTTTCTCTTGCCATGTATTTTGTTCCTTTATCAGAAAAACTCTTTTAACTGAAATTCTCAGATCAACTTACCCAAGAATGGCAAAGAAATTTCATGTATAAAGAACAATTTATTTGGAAAATGGTGTAAAAGAGTTACTGAGAATTCTAAGGCATGGCTGGGCACTCACAGTGATGACTGATGTATGTCCTGGATGCAAAGGAGGGATGTGACAGCCATTAGAGTGCATTTGTCACTGTTATAAGAGAGTCCACAAGCCGAGTTGAATGACAATATGAAGAACAGAAATATACATCTAGACAAATCCTCTTTTTAATTCTCTTCTGAGTCTATTTAACAATACCTTTCAAATGTGTATTAGTCATTCTTCTTTCCTGTTAATAATCTCGTCATGCCTTTTGTATACATCTCTTTGTAATCTCCACTGTATCAGTTGCAAATACATCCCCAAATTTGTTACTTGGAACAAAACAATCCTATTTGTAGCAAGCTGTCATAGAAAGTATTCTGATGGGATGATTTTCATCCATTCTGATGGATGCTCTTCTATATGTGGTGCCACTACTTTAATGGGAAAAGTTGCCAATTTTATTAGAAAACATATTTATTTTATAAATCCAAAGACTACAATTTTTCCTGTTTTCAGAAATTTCTTACTTTAATCCTTCACTAGACCTTTATGGCCTATTACTTCATGGTGTAAGTTATTTTTACTTAAAGTTAAAATTCACTTTATGAGTCTAATGTTCTTGTACATCATTAGATCAATTATTAATTAATACAGTTGTTCCTGGATCATACAAATCTCCTTCATATTTTTGCTCTGACTTGTTTTTTGGCCCTGGGTTATTTTAAAGAGTCATTTCAAATGTTCAAGTATATGTAGGTGTTTAATTGTGTGTTATATCAATTACTAATTTGTATTTCCCTGTGACAAAATAATATAGTTTTTCTAAACCAGCAGTTTAAATTTTATGAGACACATAATGATCAGGTATGTGATCCATTTTTTATAAATATTAGGTGTACTTGAAAAAAATATATGCTTGAATTGTTTTACAAGTCCATTATATCAAGCCCAGCAAGCTACAGAGAGTATCTCATCCGCACAGCAAAGCCTGGCAAGCTACCCATGACATATTTGATATGCCAAACACAGTAGCAACAAGTCTCACAATGTTACTGGGCCCGCTCGAGCAAATCGATGAACAACGGGAGGACAGTGACAGTGACAGTGACAATGGATTATTTTGTAGACGTGTCCATTTACCCTGCTGTTCTACCACTATTTAGAATGGAAATATTAAATCTTTCCAATGCAACAAACTATTTGTTCACAGTCATCCTCAACAGGCTCTATAATAAGAATACCTGGTTAATATTTAGATTGTACATCTGCTCTTTGCTCCTTTTATGCTTTCTAACATTATGTATTCATATCTGTCCCTTATAAACAGAATATTTTAATAAGGTAAACAATCTTTGTCATCAGCACAATAGAAATCCTTTATGTGAACTGTACTTTTTCTTAAATTCATGCTGATTTTTGTAATTTCTCCCTACACTAGCTTTAATGTTATGTATTCTATATTTAGTGGCTATCCTAGATGTCTGAACACAGGACTTTTTCAACTCCTCTCCAGGGATGAAAATTTCAAAATGCTTTAATTTTAGTCATCCTCCTCTTGATCCCAATTTTTTCATGAACACAGTTATGCATTAGATTATTAATGAAATAAATCACGCATTACTTTTATTATTTTGAAACATCATGTTTGTGTCAACTTGCAAATACAATCTTTGTCCTATTTCTCTTTGTAACTCATACTTCCCTGCACGAGCAGTGACTGTTGTGGTGGAGAAGTTTTTCCCGTGTTCTTAGGTGAACTATAGTCAGTAAAGCCCTGTTTAATCTTTAATTTTTATGCATCCTTTGTAGCTGATATGCAAAGCACATTGTTCTTAGCAAAATGTTTGCTTCTAGAACCTCCCTGGAAGTACAGGAACCAGGACCTAGTGAAGCAAATTTAAGACTGGGGCCCCGTGAATTACAAGAATTACAGTGGCAAATCCCACAAGAGTAGTAATTCTTTAAAGCAATTATTTATTTCTTCTCCTGTCTCATCTCTTTCCAGGTCAAGAAAGTCAAATATATCTTCTGTCACTATGTGTATACTCTCCCTTTCAACAGAAGTTCTTTGAAGATGATGCCTCAGGAGTTCTTTTTTTTTTTTTAATTTTTTTTTGTTTCTTTTTTTTTTTTAACAGTTGTAGATTTACAATTTTTTGTGCTTGGGTTTCGATTATACAATGATCAGATACCCATCCCTCCACCAGTGCCCATTTCCCACCACCATGGATAATATCCCCCCACTCCCATCCCCCCATCCCCCCCTGCCTCTGTGGCAGGGCAATCCCCTGTGTTCTCTCTCTCCTTTTGGGTGTTGTGGTCTGCAAAAGAGGCATTGAGTGGCAAACATGTTCAGTCCATAGTCCACTTTCGACATGCATCTCCCCTCCTGGGAGGATCCTCCAAACACCCTTTATTTGGTGCTCCCTTCTCTATCTGAACTGCCCTTTCCTCTAGGATACCCGGCTGGCCTCTCAGTTATGGAGTAATCCTCCGCCTCAGGAGTTCTTATGCAGAACTCTTTTCTAATCCCACAGTACCAAGACATTATCACCTGCCATACTGCTCCTTTTTTAAAACGTATTTATTTATTTAGAAAATCTTAAAAAAAATTTTTTAATGAAATACCATGAGATACAATTACAGAATTACACACTTTCGTGATTATGTTTCTGCCATACAATGGTCGAATACCCATCCCTCCACCAGTGCTCATTCTCCACCACCAATGTTCCTAGTATCCCTCTCACCACCCCTCTCCCGTCCCCCTCCCCTGCCTCTGTGGCAGGTACATTTCCCTTTTACTCTCTCTCTCCTTTTGGGTGTTATGGTTTGCAATGAAGGTAATAAGTGGCCATAGTGTTCGGTCTATAGTCTACTTTCAGCACGCATCTCTCATCCTGAGCGAGCCCTGCAAGCATCCTTTACTTGGTGGCCCCTTCTCTACCTCAGCTGTATTCTGATCCCTTTTCAAGTTCAGCTCTAGCTTAGCTGGACTCAGTTGTTCACCTTGGAAAATGACTCTCGTCCAGCAAATGTCAACCTTTTTGGTCAATTTGAGTTTCTCAGAGAAGTTTCCTGGTAGTCTATAATTCTGACCATGTAGTAAAAGTTCTTTAGTATTTTCCTATAATTTTAGATGCAGTGCCTTAGGAGAGATTTAACTGAATATTCTGTAAAAAAAAAAAATAGGAGAACAAGTTTCTGTATTCCCGGAATGCAATAAAGCCCTTAAATATTATATGCATCATTAGCATAGAGCAAAAATGTTTCTAAGTGAAAAACAGAGTGACTATTTTCATATAAAAACATTTTTGTAAAGATTTCTGCATGTTGCTCTACATCATAATGTAAGAACAATTTTAGGAGAAAGGGAAGAACATTATCATTCTACTGCCGACACAAATATTTTAAATATCTACTAAACAGCACATTGCAGTATATTATAGTTCAGAATACAAACTTCTGCCTTGATTATATTAAATCTTTCCACTCTCTTCAAATAACAATGTAAAGTATCGGTCATCTTTAAAACTTTTTCAGGTCAGTTGAATTCTGTGTTTTGAATGAACTTAAAATAATTAGTAAGATAGTGGTAGATGTGATGATCTGCATGGGGATGTCAAGAAGATTGTTTTTCCTTTCTCCTTAAGAAAAAGGGTGGCTTCAAGGTCAGTAGACACAAGGGCCAGCAATACTGTCCCATAGTTGGAAGCCTGTCTCATAAGCTGGGGGAGAAGGCAGCTTGAATAGAGAAGGGATCACTAAGTCAATGACGGTTGGAGGAATCCTTCAGGGCACGAGATGTTTGCTGAAAGTACATAAAGGACCAAACATGATAATCTCTCAGTATCTGTATTGCAAACCATAATATCCAAAAGTAGAGAGGGTGTGGGGGAATCTGCCTGCCATGGAGGCAGGGGCAGGGTCAGAAAGGGGGGGTATACTGGGGAGATTGGTGGTGGGGAATATGCACTGGTGGAAGGATGGGTATCTGATGACTGCATGATTGTAACTCAAACATGAAAGCTTGAAGGGTATCTCACAGTGATTCAATTTAAAAAAAGAAAGAAAAGGGGTAGCTTGAATAAGTATATTCATGATATCCATAAAGCATAGCACTATAGCATTGTAGCACTGTCCTCCAGTTGTTCATCTATTTGCTCGAGTGGGCC